TTATATAAATAATATAGAGAGAGTTTGGGGAATCCAAACAGCTCATAAATGAGAGGGACACTACCAAATATTTTATATAAATATAATATATAATATTTATACGTAAATATATCCTGCTTATATAAATAATATAGAGAGAGTTTGGGGAATCCAAACAGCCCATAAATGAGACGGACACCACCAATTCTAAAGGTCTTCTTTTGCCGGTTTTCAGTCCGGACACGGGCATAATATGGAATACGAAAAAGAACTCATTTAATATTATTTAATAGGAAACGGGAGGAAAACAAATAGCCTCGAAATGACAAAGCTACCCTTTGGATTTTATACGACAGCAACCTTGAAATTGGACTTATATATAAACATTTTGGTAGATTTATGTCTCAAAAGAGCATCAGATACGCACCTTGCTCTTCATGTCAACTGATAGTTTATTAATTTGAGGTGTATTTCTTTTTCTTGAAATCAATCCCTTAACAACTTATTCAAAAAAAAACAAAGAGCATCAGATGCACGCACCTAACTTTTCAATCAAGTGACATTAGCGACCTTAATAGGTGCATCTCTCGATCCCTTTGGTGTTAGGTTCGATCCTTCACCCCCCATTTCAAACCTATTAAAAAAAAAAAAGCATAAGAGGCTTTTTTTATTTATTTTAGACATGAGAGAATTTGAAAGAAAGAAAATTGATTTTATAAAAAAGATTTTTTATCTTGTATCCTAAAAAGTATAAGATATAAGTGTAATAAATATATTTTTTTATAATTAATATATATATAAAATAAAAAAGGTTAATTTGAATTTAATTAATTAATTAATTAAAATTATTTATGTGACAATAATATTAAAATAAAAATAAATTTTTATTATACTTAAACATGTGTTTTTAAACAAATCTTTTACAAAAATTAAAACTAAAATCTTAATTTTAATGAAATTGCACCTTACCCGATGCAGTTAGTGCTGTGGGTACAGAGTATCAGATGCTTTGAGCATAAATAAAGTTTGTGAAGAAATATTGAAATTTGTGAATTGGAAAGTATACGGCAACCAAGAATTATTTAAATCATATAGTAATTTGCATGTGACATATTCTGGCTCGTGGCAAATATTAAATCTAAGTTAAAGAGGATTTTTTCGTTTTTAATGTTAGGTTACACATATAATGTAATTGTTTCAACATATGTAACACTAGTTATGTTGGATATGATACAGGTTTATCAAAATTAAAATCTTAGTTTTAGTCTTTTTATAAAATTAATCCCCCTTCTCCCAAAATCTTTTATGTTAAAAAAACAAAAGTAATATAATTGCTTCAAGCCAATGCTATAGCAGTTTATAGTAATTTTCTTTTAATAAAAATAAAAAATTTTAAATTTAAATTATGAATGAGATATATTAAAAAAATAAAAAAATTATTTTTTATTATACAATTAAAAAAAAAAGAGACAAAAACTCTTCTCAAGCCCTGAACTAAAAACAAAACAGATAAATCCTTCAATTTTATTAACGATGCAAAGGAGCCCTTCTTACAAATGGACCAAATAATATTTCATGTTTAATATCACTTTAAAAGCTTGAAGCCATGAACAACCATGAATGAGAAGGGCTTATTTGCATTATTAGTGGAGTTAGAAGGCTTATCTACTTCATTTTTAGTTTTGGGGCTTAAATGCTATTTTGGGATAAGTTCGAGGGCTTACAAAGGGTTTTTACCAAAAAAGCAGCATCTATACCAAAATCTAGTGTTTTTTTTTTTTTTTTGGTACATTAGGCAATGCTTACAGCATTGGATTATCTAGTGGCATGTGGCCTACAAATTTCTAAATTACCTTCTTGAAGAAGAGATCGAACCACATCAGGGGGTTGTTCAAAATAAAGGAAACCTCCCCTTAGGTGATAAAACTAAGATGCCATTGCATCTGCACAAAAGTTTTGCTCTCGAAACACATGTCGAATCACACATGTCCAATCTCTTTCCATGAGAGACTTGCACCTTTGAACCCAATAAGTTAATGATGTAAGTGCTGTGGAGCTACCTTGCAATTTTTGAACAGCTAAAAGAGAATCTGTTTCCACAATAACATGTCGAAACCCCATGTTCTAAGCTAGCTCCATGCCTTTCCATAATGCAAAAAGTTCTGCACGAATGGCGTGGCCATCACCTAGCTGTTGATTGAAGCCAAACAACCAATTTCTTGATGTGTCACGGCAACAGCCTCCAGCAAGAGCCAAGTGAACCGCAAGCAGAACCATCAACATTGAACTTAACAAATCCACTTAGTGGAGGATCCCAACCTACCTGAAATTCCCTTCTCGGACCTACATGATGTTGTTTCAAAAGGGAAGCGACCTCTATGAAATGATTCTTTAGCATAGACTCCTTATTGCTGGTCCATGTAAAGTCATCATCAAAAGCTGCATTACTCCGTCCAAGCCAAAGATACCAGCAAACAATTGCAAAGGCCACACCCCACTCTAAATTAAACTCAATCGTAACATTTGTGCATGAAAGATTATGTTTGATCCATGTCAAGTGCTACCAATGAAGCCAAAGACTATCATTAATCCACCTCTTCCATAACCTTTTAGATATCGGACAGTCCCTAAATAGGTGCAGAATATCCTCTCGGTGAGTATAGCAACGAGGCCAAGTATCATTCTGTGCAATCCCTCTTGCAAATTTGGCACTATTTGTTAGAACTCTATCATGCAACATGAGCCATAATAAGGACTTGTCCTTTGAAGGTGTTGTTAAACTCCATACCTTGCTCCAACAACCTGCCAATGCAGAAAGGCTAGAATTAGTCAATAATTCATAAGCACTCATGGTAGAAAACTCATCAGTACTAGAGCTTTTCCAATAAATAGAGCCCATTTCTAAATTTTGATCATTAAGCACATGGAGCTCTAGTAATTGTATAATAATATTAGGTAACATAGGTTTAAGTAGTCCCCAATTCCATCCATTAGAGTTCCAATATTCCGCCACGGTCTTTCGTAACTCAGATTCAGGAATGGGGCCAATAGCTACAAAAAATAAAGGTCTATCAGTAAGCCAGCTATTAAGCCAAAAAGATGTATTCATTCCTGAGTTAACCATGTGACCCATGCCCATGGAGACCAATTCTTGAGTTTCTAAAATACCCTTCCATGTGTATGAGGCATTTTGTTTAGCCTCCGCTTGAAGAAAATCACAATTAGGGAAATATTTAGCCTTTAGTATTTGAATCCACAGTGGCTCTGACTCAGTTGCAAGCTTCCATCCTACTTTGGATAACAATGCTAAATTCATGGAAGAGGTTGATCTAAATCCTAAGCCACCAAACTCTTTAGGGGTACAAACCACATCCCATCGAACTAGTGGGATTTTACATTTGTCATCCGATCCTCCCTATAAAAATTTCCTATTGGCTCTATCAATATTCATACACACAGCATTAGGGAGCTTTGCAGACTGCATGGCATGGTTTGCAACTGTGGAAAATACTGATTTAATTAGCACTTGGCGTCCTACAAAAGATAATTGTGCAGCCTTCCAACTTGATAACTTGGTTTTAACTTTAAGAAGCAAGTCATAATAGGTCGCCCTAGTAACTCTCTTGTGATGTAAAGGAACACCCAAGTAGCAACCAAGGTCATCTATGGTGCTTGAGATAGAATTACAAAATGACAACTGGCGTAAGAAAGAAACGCCCAGACTATGGTGCTACTGTTTTTGTTTTATACAGTTACATAGAGTCTAATTTTAGTGAATTCAAAACCAAAATTAATGGAACTATTACCCTTTCTTTTTCTTTTTCTTCGTCTTTTTTCAAGACTTGGAAAGGAAGGAGAGGGGCAAAGGAAAATTAAACCTTGATTGGGTTGGTGGAACATATGTTGCATAATGTTCATTCTACATGCAAGTAATGATAAATTATACAAAAAAGAGAAGAAATCTAATTATACATAATTTTTATTCATTATATTTACGTAAAATTTTAATTTTTAATTTTTTTCACTTTCAATAATTGAGATTTATTATAACCTTCTAAAGAAAAAATAATTATTTTTAATAAATTTGAATAAATTTTAACCATTAAAAATAAAAAAATTAATAATTAAAGTTTTATATAAGTATCATGTGTAAGACTTCGTATGTAAGTAGATTCTCATTCATACAAAAAATTATGTTATAAATTTTAAGAATGATTAAAGCATGAACCTCAATTGCTTTAGCATAAATCTTCTTCTTCTTCAATTTTTTTTTTTTTTTATAAGATTTGGAAAGGAAGGAGAAAGCAAAGGAAAATTAAACCTTGCTTGGGTTGTTGGAACATATCTTGGGTGACCGTTCCCTCTAAATGCCACTAATAATGAATTGTACTAAAATTATGTTACAAATTTTACTGAATGATTAAGGCATTGACCTCAATTGCTTTAGCATAAAGCAAATAATTAAGAGAAATATAATTAGGAGATCTAAATCTTTTTCTTTTTGGCCAAAAGGAGATTTTATTATTGTTTAATGGTTTCTTCTCGCATTGTGATTATTAATGACTTTGTTGAGTTTTCACTCAATTCATTCACATACACTTCTTTTGTTTCAAAATATAAATTTTTTTTTTTATATATTTTTAGATAATATTTTATATAATATATAAA